TCATGAAACTCAGAGAGCTAAATAAAACCAGTAATAAAATCATAATAAAGACAGATTTGGTGGCTACAAGCAGAGGGGGAGCTGCTGTTGGACTCCTGGCCCTTTTGGCTAACAGTACACCCTCTCCAGCCCTTCTGCCTTGGGAGCTAAGCAGGACCATTTGAGATCAGGGCATGTCAAACTGCCAGATGGCTTGGAAAGACACTGTCTCTTGAGAAGAACGCTGCTGTGCTAGAGCCACACAACTTTACTGCACCAGAAATGCACGCTGCTACCTCAGATGTTAGAAATGACACCAGGATTTTACTCTTCCCATCCATAATCCGAAAGAGCAGAGCAGGTTCTGCCTCATCTAACCCATGGTGTTGCAGGCTACACTGGCTTAACGTTTGGTTAATTTGACACATGTGATTAGAAGCTCTGGCAGAGTGAAGAGCCTACAACATAACAAATAACACTTCTCCCATCGCCAGCAAAATATCTGCGTTGGATCTGTACGCATCTGCTCTCCATCTGCCAAAAAGACGTCAAGATACATTCCTCAAAACCACTTTTATGGTTTTTACTCAATCTTGACATTCACTTGTTCTGAAGTTTCCAAGAAAACATTACAGCTCCAAAGGGGGCATCTACATTTGAGTAAAGCCACACAATGATTCTGAACAGAAATGGCTGCACACAGGCACTGTCCAAAGCACCCCAAACCAAACCTGTGGCAACACTTCCTCGCAGAGATTTAGCTATGAGATAAAGACAAGAAGCAATTATCTTGGAGAGGTTAAGGAAAGAAGTGCTCACAGCACAGCTGAATTCTGCTTATCACTTCATTGCCCTCCTCTGCTGCTCTCTTTTGTACATTCACCTGCCCACTCCTGCTTGAAACTGGTATCTAGGCAAGCAGATGGTTAATTCTGACTTTGAAACGTGGTCAGTGCATCCTCACTGGATCCACCACCTCTGACCCAAGAGGCAGTAGATTCAGCTGTCATGAAACAGATCAAGAGTCTTAAACCTTTGAGGCTGCAGCATAAATCACTGGGGTTTGGGCTTTTTTGCTTACATTTACTAGCCAACTTAAGGGCGGGGTTTGTAAAAGGCTCTTGTAAAAAATTGCCCCCCTATTTATGCATGTCATTCTTTTCAGAAGCGATTTAATGGGGAAAATACTCTTTAATTATGATTAGGGGCTGACTACTGGAATGCCCATGCCTGTTTATTCAAAAGCAGATGTTCAGCAGTGCAGTGTTTCATACGTTATGCTGACAATAGTAAATTATTAGCAAAACATGGTAAGTAACATCTAAAAAGTCTTTCTGTGAGGTTGCCTAACTATTGGAGTGGGTCAGCAACAAAAGATCAGATGTGACACGTGTTAACATCCCAGAACAATTTATCCTCTACTCCACCAAACCTCATTTCACTCACTCAGCTGAATGTAATTAGACCTCAAGTTTGTCCTAATTTCAATCTCTGCAGAAAAGGGGTTATCTTTCCTCAGCAAGACGTGGCTGCTCTGAAATGCTGGCAGTGATCTGCAAGGACAAACTGCAAAGGTGCACACCATTATCCTAGGTTTAGAAGAGCTGCAAAGACAGCATGATACCTACATTAAAATGCAAACATGTATGCCATAGCACCTGCTTTGAGCTTCAGTTTAACATACCGAAGCAGAGAACAGCAAGAACCCATGAGCCACACAGGGCAGGAGCTATTTTTAGATAAATGTTATACAATTTTCCCTCTAGCTCCATGGATCAGAAACATATGCTGCAGCTACAGCCCCATTACAGTTTAATCCTCCCCTGAACAAGGACATGGTAAGTCTTCAGATACTAATAACAGTAGGCTACTCAAGGTGCAAAGCACTGTTCAAGTCTTTGCTGTGGTTCAGGCTACACAGTCTGCCATGGTGCATGCAAAACTGCACATGGCTTTGTGAAAACAAGTTCATTTCCTTTCTTCTGACCTTTGCAATCAGGTTCTTGCTATGGGGTAAGAGTGGACAAAAGACTAGATCTGCTTCCTATGAAATGTGACTTAGTTTCTATTTTCTACAATACCTAGAAAAGAATTGATTTACTTCTCTGTCACAGAGAGTATCACAGTGAAGGATCCAACCCACACCCCTCAAGTGAGGGCTTTGAGACAGACAAGCCACCTTCTTACACTCCTTCATGGGACAGGAAGATGCTTTAGGAGGTATGTTTTACTTGAAGGTGTTGAAAATTTAGTGCGATTTCTCACATTGAGTAGCTTGTGAAGGCACTAACCTAACTGCATGAGAAATGAGTGTCTGGTAAGTAGAAGAACCTTTGTCAGAAACAGTAGTCACCTCACACATAGCAAAAGCCACAGATTCACCTAAACCCTTGCTCCAAGACAGATTTTAAGTTAAACCTACACAGGAAGAGTCCCTTGGAAAGAAACGTGTAATTATCAGTTGCGAGACTGAGGAAAGACATTAACACCTTGCTTGCTCCCAAAGCTTCCTTGACCCACATAGCAGTATTCTCAATAATAAGCCTCAGTTTTTGATTGATTGAGGCAGTAGTCAAAGACAGGCTACATTTATACACATCTCAAACAAGCCTGGTAGTCACTACCAAGCAATCAGCATTACTAAGAGGTTCCAAAGGGCTATACAACTGCAGAGAGCACTGTGCAAAACAGGAGAATACATTTTTTAGTTGCTGTGAAATGCGAGTATGCTTAAAGAAGTCAACTGAGCCATGTAACAGTTTGGGGTTCTTTAATCATTAAAGTTATACCCAAGGTGCATTGAACAATTTACATTTGCAAGCACTACATCTTTGCACTTTAGCTACAGCACACTCTGCCCACTTTACCAGGACCAGAAAAAGAACCGACTGCCAAATGGAGAAGGCTTCAGATCTCCTTCAATGGGTGGATTTGGCTCTGGTCTAGGTCTAGAGTGATAGGCATTCTCAGGCATAGGACGGTCTGTCTTCACTTTTGTAACCTAGACAGAACAAAGAAGAAATGATACAACTTCTCACAGCATTAACTAGAAAAGCTAGACTGAGTCAGAAGTTAAAGGAAGGACTATCAAGAAGTACCAAACACCACTAAGGACATATTGTTGATCTGATGAGAGCTCCTATCTCCAGACTACCTCTATACAAAGGGGCATTTCGCTCATAACTACAGAGCAGTTGTACATGTGTGTGAGCTTCACTCCTGAAGTAAAGGTCTTTGTACCAGGAAAAGAAAAAAGCAAGAGTGTCACTGCCTAAGTAAAGTGCAAGTCCTCTGGGAAAGCAATCCTGGAGAATGCCAACAGTGTCTTGACTTCTATTAAATCCAGTGCTGAGCTCCTGAAATCACCTTCTGGCTGGGAGAAGAGTTGGAGACCTGTGTCTACAAGAATGGAGACAAGAACCTGGCTATCAAAAAAGTATGAAGTTACCTTAGAGAGCTGTCCCAGATCAGGTCTCACCCAGCCCAACTTCTCCAGCACACAGTTATCAAACACTGCCTGCTGCTTTCGGCACCGCCGGAGCTCCTGCAGGTTGCTGTAGTCAATGCACGTCCAGTACTCGGTAAATGGCTCTGCACAGTTTGTCTTGATCTTCCTGCAAGAGACCACAGAAACAAAACAGTTCACAAATGTTAGAGTTTTAATCCTTTTCTCTTACTCATTCAAACCTCAACTTGGCTTTCTTTAAGTTCTCAGGAACATTTAAAGTCTTTAGGGAAATCAGCATTCGAAGCATCATTAAACAGAACTTCATAACAATATCAGTCAAATTCATGTCATTGTAGCTACAACTGGAGATAGCAATAATTTAACTAGTTATTCTTGTATTCTAATGGAAAGTATTATTCTTGCTAAGTAAATGTACACAGCTTTTCCATACGACAACCCTGTCTTTCCAAATAAAGAGCACATTATACAACGCTCTAATGCTTCCAAATTAATTTGATGCCTTAACTCAAGAAAAGCATGCTTAGAACAGGCATTTCTCATTACCAGCTGCTACACTGGAAGCAGACATGCTTTAAGCTAATTCAAGTAGGCCTTTTACTAGCAACCTAAGAATGTGATACTGGCACAAGCCTTAGATTTACATGTTTGGTCAGAAGAGGCAAATGGGGCATGCAATCAAGCTCTCACACCTGTGAAACAGAAGGCAGACAACTCAAAGCTTCGGTCAGTTTCCTGGATGTCACAGGAGGGCTGGAAGGTGCAGGAGCAGCAAGACTTCCATCACCTCCCCACCTTCCACTGCTAACCTAACAGAAACCTAGCCCGCTTACTCTGCAACTGAAGCCATAGAGCTTAATATTGAAGGATAAATTAATATATAGCTAAATAAAACAGATAGGACTTATTTCCCCAAGAGTTAAAGCTTAAGAAGCAAGAATAGAGACTTTAAAAGCTGTGACGGGGATAGCACTTTGCATTAAACAGTTGCTCAAGTAACGAAGCTTGACAAAGGCATACTACAGCGGGAGAGCCCCTGAACAGCCTTCACCTTCGGGGCAGAGGGGAGCCTCGGCCGGGCTGGCAGGGCCCCGCTCACCTGAAGAACTCGAGTGCGCACCGGTTCACCTCCCGTCCCTCCTGCAGGCACTTCCGCGGGTCCTTCTCCTCCCAGCGGCACAGCATGAACTCCTTGTTGGGGCGGTCGCACTGCGAGCCGTAGTGGTGGGCCGCGGCCTTCAGCACGGCCGAGCTGACTTTCACCTACAGCGGGGCAGAGCGGCAATGGGCGCCGGCGGATCCCGCCGCGCTGCCCGGCATGGGGGAGAGCAGGGTCGGGGCATCCGGTCACTCACCTCCTGCACATCGAGCTCCTCCAGCGAGGGCACCCGCAGGACGCCGGGCATGGCGGCGGCGCCGCTCTCCTTGAGCTCCCCTCAGCGCCCGGGCGCCACTGCCCATGCGCCGCATGCGCGGAGGCCGCGGGGGGCGGAGCCCCGTTGGCGGCGGCGTTGCCGTGGTGACAGCGCCGCCGAGCTGGGCCGGGCCGGGCAGCGCCGGGCAGGGCAGCCATGGAGGTGTCTGACGGGCGGTACATCGGGGCCACCGTGCGCGGCAGGTGGGGCCGGCGGGCAGCGGGGCAGCGGGGCTGCCCGTCCCGGCCTCCGTAACCAGCCGCTGTGTTCCAGGATGGAGGGACCGGGCAGCTACACGCTGCCGACGGGCACCGAGTACCGGGGCACGTTCAAGGACGGGATGTTTGACGGCGAGGGAGAGCTGCTGTTCCCCAACGGCGGCGTGTACCGGGCGGTCTGGCACCGCGGGGTGCCCACGCAGGTACCCCGAGGGCACCTCAGCCCATCCCGAGGGGGAGCACTGATAGGGAGCGGCCGCACTGCAGGGCGAGGTTTTGGGGTGAAATAAGCAGATTTATGAACCATGCTGATTTTTTTCACCCCTCGGTGGCCTCTGGCACCCAAAGGTGCGAGGGGAGGCTGCTTGTGGGCAGGCAGAGGCAGCCCCCAGCGCTCCTTAAACCCCAGCTGACCCATGCACTCGGGTAAAGGCATAGATTTGGCAGCGGGAAGACTGGTTGTGTTTGTGCTCCATCCATCCATCATGTTTATTAACTCAGTGCTTGAACGTGTTTTGCAGGGGAAATACACTTTTGCAGATGGTCTCGAATACAAAGATAAAAAATGGCATTACTGTGATGGCTACGACAGAAGATTTTACACAGAAATCTGCTCTGGTCTGATAGAACCAGGTACTGAATTGCGTTTGCGATCCTAAGAGTCTGGAAGGAATTAAAGTAACAACTTTGCTTAAGAAAGATTAATTCGGCTCCATGAGTAACATGGAGCAGAAACGCTCTGGCTAATTTCAGGACCCGACTGTATGACGCTGCCAGAACCTTCCATGCAGTGCAGGATGCAGCACTGCGCCCGCAGCGTGGTCTCCTCTGCAGCAATGGCCCACAGGACAGGGCTTTGTTATCTACATCTGTTAACCCTTTTATACAGTTCACCTTCACTGTGTTAGCAGTGGGCTTTCAGTACTGACAAGTTGAACAAGAGCACCTAGTTCACATCCAAGACATCAAATAAAGCTTGAATGCATCTGTCCCACGTAGCTGTATAGTAGATACCAAAATCAACATTTCTGTCCAGTCTATTTTTTGCCAAAGACACTCATAATATTACTATTTTTCTGTAGTCAGAAAGTGAAGAGATTTATAAGGACCAAGTGAGTAAAATTTGTAACGTAGTGCATAAAATACTCTTCCTTATACATAGAATATTTTAGTGATGACATGTAGTTCTCTGCAGCCAGCAAGATTCTCCTGGCTCTGGTTTGGAGTTTGGGGTCATATCTGTTGCTGTTAGCTTAGTGATACCATTTTATCACGCACTTTTGCTGCATGCAGTTTCCCATCTTTGTTTTCTCCCTATGCAAAATTGGCAAAATGTTTTCTAAAGTTTATTGTAAGGTGACTGCATAATTATTACAGCAAATGCCACAGAGATCAGTGTTGGTTATCTTGACCAAAGGCACAAATGAAAAAGGAGGGGGAGAAATAAAAGCAGAATAAAGCAAACCCTTTCCTCTTCTTTTTACTTTTTCCAGATATTTCTCAGCTTACAAATCTGGATCCTCCCCCAGAAATCCCAAAAGGCTGTTACGACTGTGGTGATGGATTCTATAATCCTGAAACCAGAGTTGTTGTCGACTACAAATTCAGGTTTCTGAGAAACGCAGGTACGATTAACTTCTTCTCCAAGGTAAACTGAGTTTACCTGTCATGCCTTCAAGGATGCATGAGTAAAGCTGCAACATAAAAAAGTCCATGCTTTGGTTCTCTTATCACTGAGCTAAAATATTTTTACCTATTTACTTTTGTCAGCTACATGTGCATCCCCAGAGTTGTATAAATCATGGTTTGCAAAATTACAATGAGGTATTCCCAAGCAGATATGAATAAATATATTTTATGACTGTTTGGTATGTGAATCTCAGAAGATTTTCAACCTCTTCCATTATGATCTCAAAGTAAGGGAGTGGTTGTAAGGTGTACATCATGGATCCTGAAAGCTAATAAACTGTTGTGAACCAGCAAAGTGCTTAAGCATGTGGTTATCTCTGCATGTTAGAATAGCCCATTTTATTGAAATGAGCCTTAGGGCTATGGTGAAATAGCCCCAAAGGGCTTTCCCAAGGAAACTTCCTTGAAGAGCTGTGTTTTAAGTCTGGCAAATATTGGGTCTCATGGACAGAGTCCCCAAATTAATAATTCTTGGGGAAAATTAGTCCTCATCAAGCCAAAAGAGAATCTCTTTGAATTAAAACCACACAAAAGACCCCAAAACAGTTGACACTGGGGTAACTCAGAAAATGTAACTTGACCTGAAACAAACATTTGTGTTCTGGCTATTTAACCCTGGAGTGCATCACCTTCTTTTCTAATAGAAATTATTTCTGAAAACAACTCCTCACCCCACTTTTTTTCCCAAAAAAATGTTTAAATTGCAAGACCCATTTTTTTCTAGAAGACAAAATATCTCATTTTTCATTGTGCCACAGTTTAACAGTTTTGTTGCTTGGAAATGCCATTTTCCAGCAAATTTACTATTTGTCGAAGAGAATTCTGCTCAGCTCTACTTTGAAGAGCTCTTATAAGTATGCACGGTGATATTGGAGGAGGGAAGTGAAGGGGGGGTTAAATGAATTGGAGATACCATCTGCTATAAAATATACCCTGTGATACATGGCCTGTTTTATAAACGTTGAATAAAAACTGATCTAGATTATTACAAATGGCATTGATCCAAAATACCGGAATGCTGTGGGCCTACTGATGAGGAAGATAAGCAACATGCTTTCCAAAAACACAGGAACCTACACAGATTAGTACAGGAGGGAACGCCTTGGAATTCAATTTATTGTTTTTTAATCTGTTCTTTGAACTCATTGTCCTTCACGACATTTATCTCAGACCCTACAATTTATATCCATCAATATTCACTGAGCCCAGCGGCGCAGCGTGCAGTCTGACGGAGTCGTTGGAGATGTGCTTTGTGTGGCCGTTCCATTGAGAGCCCTGTACACAAAGTTAAACTTTGTGTTGATGTGAGTGTGAAGAAGGAATGTGTCGTGGAGGCCAGACCCTTCCTCTCAAGAGCATGAACACAATTGAAACACCCGGCACTTGTTCAACATCAGAGGAACTCTGGCCGCCCCAGGAGAGATGATTCAGGGCACAAGGCCACTGCAGTGAAGAGAAAAAAATATAGTTAAAAAAACCCAGCTGTAAGCAGAAGAAACTGAGGAAGAGGCTGGGATGACAGGGAACAGATCCAGAATTACTCCATTATAGGTTGGGCAGGAAGGAGCAGGAAAACCTCCAGGCTTCCAGCCAAGTCTTGAAAGCATCAAAAGCAGATGGTAGGAAGCATTCAGGAAGTTCTTACAACAGCTTGACAGGTTTACCAAAATGACACTATCTTCCTCAGGTCTGGCAGCAGGCTTTCAGACTACTCCAGTTCTCACCTTTCACCCTGGCCCTATTATGAAGCAGTTTCTGATTGTTTCTTGGCTGTTTGTGAAGGAGGGCGAGGAAGAGCTCCACATAGAGCCTTGGCACTGACTTGCCTCTAACTGGCAGCATCCAGGTACCATTCCAGAAAAGAAGAAAACAGATGCCATTTGAAACTACTGAGTTTGCTTCCACCTCTTCTTTGTCAAGATGAGTGGATGGAGAGTGCCACAGAGACTCTTGATAAACTTGGCAAGCCTTGTGTTTCACTAGCATGGAGGTCTGATACTCATTTACTGAAAGAGCTCTTGCAGTTAAAGCAGTGCAAAGGCCCACCACGAAAACATAATCAGGCCCAGGGAACGAAATGACAGCAATGGTTTTGTTCTACGTTTTTATCTAGCAAGGTTTTCCAAAATCTCATCACAATCTTGCAGTTATTGCTCCGTCCCTAAACCTCTGTTTCCTCAGGGATGCTCAAATTTCTCCCCATTCTCCATGTGTTCTTCCATCTTTTCTTTCCTTCCAGTATTGCGGAGTACGCAAAATTGGACACATAAATAAGAATGTGAATGCTCATTTGTAAGGAGATACCTTGTTTATTTTGAATAGATACTGGGCCTAGACTCCTGTTTCACTAGGAATATTACTTTTTTATTTCTTTTCCAGAAATAGGACTCCTGGCACCTTTGTAACAGAGTTTGGTCAATAGAAAGATGGGAAGATGTCCCAGTTTTCCACTGGAAGTAGAAAATATATGAGGTTATGTTTAATGCAAAGCAGGGAGGTACACAAAAATCTGTGACATTCAGGTTTTGGAACTTCTAAACATCAGAGAAGCCATAGCTTTCAAAGAGAAAATACCATCAGAAAGAAATTTTGTTATACTGAGATGGAAAAGGTTATAGGAGATTGCCTGGGTCACCTCTCCTTTGACGAAAAGCAAAGATGCTTCTGATGAAGATTGCCTTGTTTCTCCTGTGGTTGTCAAAAGGATGAGTTAAATAATATAAAATATGCTTTTGCTCTTTGTAATAGGAGAATATTTGGGCTACTATTTTCATATTCCATCTTCAGGTTTAATTAATGTGTGTACGGTGCATAGGGAATCTTTCTATACTGCAGTCAGTATTTCCTCCTGAAATGCATGCATCTCTTCATATAACGTCAAGATCAGGAAGACACAAAGCCTGCCTTTACCCTAAAAGCTCAGTCAGGTAACTGAATTAACATGCATGTTACTAAGAGCAGGATTAGGCCCAGAGAACCAGGACAAGTATCTTACTAAGAGGAGAGGGTTTGGTGTTGCTGCAATCCCAAATGAGCCAGCAATCATCTTAGGATTTCTTCAAGTCTGAAAGTCTTGTAAAAAGCAGCAGGAAAAATCCTGCTGCTTTGGGAATCATTATGAGCTGCAAAGGTCAAGATTCAAGAACATTATTTTATTATAGTTTAGAAAAGTCCGGGATCAGAACGTCTGAGGTTCCTTGGTTGATGCTGACCCAACTCCACAGGCAAGGGTGCAAAGCCATTTCAGTTCTAAGCCTGAGCAATCACAGACTTACAATTGCCTCACGTTGTTACCTTGGGATGAAGGTTCTCATGCTTGGTCTGAAAGGATTTAGAAGCAAAATGTTCTTGAAAGTTGGCAGCAATGTATTCATCCATTTCAGTTTTATCCAAGTATGCAAATCCATGAGAAAAACCTACATTTAGCCCTTTTTTTTGTCTCACAACTCAGATCTGACTTGCACCAAGTGCTTTTGGGAGATGTAGACTTTGACTTGTCTGAAAACATAGTTGAGAAACAGAGCCATAACCGCTCAATAATTACACAGGGTAATATTTCTGTACCTACCCTTATGTACCCCAAACACATGCAGATGTTTGCGTGCTCTCTCTCATAAACTACTGCAGAATTGGGTGTGGGATGAGGAGCTGGCAATTTTTCAGGCCTGGAGTATTTCTGGAAAAAAGACAGCAAGTTTAACTTAAAGTCGACTGTGGTGCAGGAAAAAAGATTGACTGCACTCAGGGATCATGCACGGAGCTTTATTCCCTGTTCTTCTTTGAAATTGCCCATTCTGATGATGGAGGGAGTGGATGAACAGTCTGATTCCAGGCTAGCCCCTAGTCATTGCCGAAGAATGTGAGAGTTGTTTTGGCAGATACCCTTAGCAATGGAGAGGAAAGCCCCAGCAATACACATACAGAGGGAATATAGTATTTTTGTTCGAATGAATTTAGCTTCCCATAGATTTAAATGTCTACTTATAACGCAGGACCATTTAATCTTTTGTACATTTGTTTCTTTTTTATTTGACTTAAGATACTGAATTTAGATGAGGCTTAGTTCCTACATATTGAAACTCTTAAAAGCTCTTCAAATAATTGTTCTTTGGATACTTGTTAAGCTAAAGAAATCAGTTTTGATCGGCAGTAAAAGTTCATGCTATTTTAAGTGCAATGCTATAGCTATTTTCTGTTGTATATTTAATCATTTTGAATTATATGTCATGTAAAAGATTTTAGCTCTGGGGCATTTGCCAGATGGCTGATTCTGCATTTCACACAACAAAAGAAATAATGTTTGTGTAAAGCTCTTAAAAATAGTTGGTAATCAGTATATTCTACAACGAATAGGATCCAGACCTGTTTGGAAAAAAACCCCAGCTTTTGCAGAAATTAATTTAGAGGATTTGGGCTCTACCTCTGGGCTCTGAACAAAACAAATTGTGTCCATTGTTTGCTGATTTTTTTTAACATTTCACAAGTTAACTGAATTGGAAATTTTACTCATTTTTATGTTAAATGCTGTTTATTGCAATCCATTGATCTTTTCCTCTTCACTTGGGCTGACAAACTTATTTCTGAATACAGGGTTTTGTAAAACAGAGAGCCAGTACTACTCTCCATTTACACAGTAGAGCATGTGAATGTGAGTAGTCCTTTGCTTTTCTTGCAGCAGCAGGAGTGCTGCTCCTTTTTTCTGCTAACTCCTCTTGCTGGCCTCTTAGATTCCTCCAAAATACTACTGCAAAGAACACTTTCCCTCTCTGCCATGGCACTCAGCTTGTTTTCTTTGCCCACAAGGCTCTACACATGCGCAAACAAATTCATCTTTTGCTCTTGTCTCCTCCATTTTCCATACTCTTTTTTCTCTTGTGTCTAGTCCCAGGACCTAGGTTTTTTCCCACATTCACACAATTCCAGTTTTCTGGCACTTGCTTTCTATACTCACTGCTTCTATGATAGAAGGTTTGAAAAACACGACGTTAAGAGGAAGGTCAGAAATTGTATTATAGCTCTTTCACCCGGAGCTCCAAGTGTTGCTCATCTATCTCTTCCTGTATTTTAATCAGCTTTTATCCTGATGTGATAGCTTTGGACCTAAATCTTCTCCAATGCTTAATAACTAAATCAGTTCAAGAGCCAGATCTTAGGAGGAGAAGAGGCAGAACATGAGAAAGTATCAAACTGAGGACTGCTGAGTGGGCAAGGCAAATGCATGAGTATTGAAGTGAAGATGGCAGAAGGAAATTGTGCCTACTTAGTGGAAAGGGAAGATCCCAGCCTCCTACGAGAAGCTCCATGCCTATTCTTACTCTTCCCTAAACACTTTTTAAAATGTTGGACTAATTCTCCTACCCATCATATGCTCTTTTCTTATATTTTTATATAGAAATGTGTTCAGATCAGGCACATTTTGAATGCCATTGCAAATCAAAGCCTGCTCAGGTGACAGAGTTGGGGATTTCTCATCCATGTACCCATTTGGCTTACATGTTTTAATATAAAAGACACTCAATTCAGTAAAACAGATTATGAACCAATACAATTTATAGCCAAGACTATAGCCAACAATGATAATTGTAATAGGTGCATCATGATGTAAGTTACTACAGTGGTTTCAGTAGCTATAGCTTTCGCAGATATACTGTTCCTTGTGGTTTCCTGGTCTTAAAATACTTATCGCTTTGAAAACTCTGAAAGTTTCTGTTCCAAATTGTGGCATGCCAAGAATAACAACTTTGTTTGCATGCTTGCCATCCTATTGTGAACCCATTAAATAGGTTATGCACAAGTCTTATAGGCGCTTATAGTCAACTATACAGTTCACATGAAAACAAGTTTTACAAGAGATGGAAAGTTCATTTGGGGGACATTTTGGAACCACAGTAATTAAAAGTAAGTGGAAGGGTGAGAATTTGTGGGTGGAAGCAAAGGTTAATTGAAAACATATTTTCCATTTTCTTGCCAGCCTTGATGTTGGTGGGGTCAGGTGCAGTAAGGAAAGTGGTGCTAGGGACCCGGAGGGGACAGTGGAAATGAAAGGGGTGTGCCAGGCAGAATCCATGGCTGAGATGCTATCACATGTGATTGTAATTGTGCAGTGGAAGAACATGATAAACTGCACCGCGGGTGATGGGAGGAGTCAGGCATGCGAAAGAATTAAATGATATTGTTGTTTACAATGGTCTGCGTGCACTGGGCCCTCTGCAAACAGAAAGGAAACCCAGCTCTTGTTCGAGGATTGTCTATTGTAAACACACCCTCTTGCAAACCATAGTCATGGAAAGCTGCTCTTACCACACAGCTGTGTCCTCAGGGTATGCCGGAGCTGCCAGCCTCTGATTGTCCCAGTGGAGGCACATACCAGGGTACATCTACTTCCCTTCTTGCTCACATGGCATTTAACAAAAGCAAGGGTGAAGGAAGGGACGATGCCTACTCCATCTGGTCGCAGCTTGCCTTTAGGCAGAGTAGGGATCCAAGGATCTGAATTTTGGAGTGAATCAGGGCATGCATCAGCTCTCCACTGACAAGACAAAGCCTTTAGGGCACTAGGAACACATACAGCTACAAAGTGAGTACAAAGAACCAACACAGAGTCAGACAAGGATTTTAAGGTGAACAATGTAGGCTTTTTCTCTGTGCAAGCCACTAAGTATTCCAATTTCAGTGCAGCACATCTTCCTATGCACCTCAAGGTGGTTTCCTGGGAAAGTACTAGTTAAGAGGGCAAATCCAGAAGCCTATATGACAATACTGCTGCTTGCTGATAGTCTCTGCTCTGCATCATGGCAGACACCTAAACATGCAGTCCTAAGGGGTCTCTCACAGCTGAGGTTTCCATAAGCAACACAGAAATGCAATAGCTAGAAGCAAGTAATTCTGAACTTTGCAATATGCATTCAATATAGGAAGATTAAATGCACCTAAATTACAGTGTGTTTTCAAGCCATCCCTTGGAAGCATCCTGAAGCAAGCCCACCCTGGATTTTCAGCTGTTTCTAATCCCATCTGAGAGATAAATCTGGACTGTGCAGTTTTGGAAGTCTCTTCTGCCACTACTTTTAGACTGAACATTGAAAACCAGACAAGTAGTTTCATTTTGTTGAGACGCTGAGCAGAAACCCGCTGATGTAAGTGGGCTGCAGTTTGGGCTCACTATGGAATACACATTGCAGCATGTTTGACAGACACCTGTTTGGACTTGGCTGGCATTTGGAGTTTCCCCGAAAGCCAACCAAAACAAGGAAGGAACTTGCAAAGCAATTATTTGGTAAGAAGATCTTGAAACGGGCTACTTGCAGGGACACAGTGTGACCAACAGATTTAGTTGGGTCTTACTTGCCTGAAGAGACTCCAGCCACACTGACCTGCATAGACAGTGCTCAGCAGTAGGTCAGCAGGACTTGCACCCCTGGCTATCACCTTCTGTGGACTGATGACTGGGGATCAGTCATGCAGGTGCTACCAGGGTTGGCTCCATATGTCTTCGCTTGCTCAATGAAAATAGCCTGAATCAAGTGCAAAAGAGAAGCTGCCCCAGCCTGGGCTGGCTGAGGATCTGGCCCACAGTATTCAAAGTGTATTTTGTGGGTGCTAGAAAACTGATTTGGTTTAGGTTGAGACACAAGAAAACAGTTCAGAAGAATCAGTCAATACTCACATATATTCTAACAGCTCATCTGTGCAGATCGCTCACTATCTCTGCTTCAAGATTTCAATGATATGTGATTATAATAATTCATATTTCACTAACTTGGGAAGAAATAACATTTACTGAACAGGGATACACCAGATTGCAATAACGTTCTCAGATAAAACTTTCTCTTCTTTACCTTCAAATACCACCATGGTTTAGTCCTGTTTCAGCAAAGTCTGTTCCATGGGTGTTTATTCTACTGAGGAAAATCTATATAAATGGGTAAACTTTGAAAGATAAATACACTGACACAGAATTCAGCACACAACGTGAAGAACCCCATAGCACCTAATTGTGCACAGGGGGATAATTTACCACTGATTAAAGAGTTTGTATTCTTTATTTTTTTCCCCCAAATCTTTTTTAAAGGGAAAATTACTTGTGAAGGTGAAGATGTGCTCAGACAATCATATTAACATATTCAAACAATTGCAATTTGCAAAATAGTAATTACAACTCGCTATCTGGTAGCATTAATCAAACTTCAAGGTTTAATTCCATTTTAAATATTGATGAAATGTGATTCTCCAATCTAACCCTGGTGTTGCAGGGTTATGGAAGCAGCCAGTGACAGAAAAAGAGGAACATGTAGTTAACAAGCAGCTGCCACAAAGAAGGATCGGCATCTGTGATTTAAATTGTTAGCTGCACAGTCAGGTAGAGTGTAAAAAGGGTAGTCAAGAGGCTGTTAAGTCCATTGCTGCCAATTACTAACAATCAGGGAGGAGCTTTAAGACTTGTTCAGTACAATAAACCCAGTTTGTCTTGTTTCAGGGGTTACTACTGAAGAGGTTGCAGCTGCACTGATTCAAATAGCCCTAAAACTACAGTAATTATCAACCAGTCTTCTTTAGTGTAGCAAAAGTATGTTTTACCATAGCTTAACTCTTTACATTCTAATATTTCCCTGCCTCTTCTCACATAGCCAGCCCTGGAGCCACTCTCATCTCTGGGTTTGTGGTTCACGCTATGCTGGATCAGTTCTTTGATTTCCCTTCACCTAGAGCAAGGACCAGTCATATGGGATGCCGGGTTGGATGGCAGCTCTAGGGATTTGCTTTAGGTTGGGTTTTTGGGGGGATATTGACTCATTGCATCTATTTTCTCTTTTCATAAAGTTGATATTCATACAGCTCATTCAGTTCTTGCATCTGATTACGCCACATGCAAGTTAAGCAGCGCTTATGAACATGGATTTAATTTGCATGGGATCAGATCACTGCATGAACCAAGACATTTTGGGATGGGACTGGGGAGGCTAAAATCCTTCGAGCAACCTGCCTTGTGTGCTTTCCTAGGAGACCATGAAAGCACAGGAGGGAACACTGTGCAAACCAAGGATATGAAACCAAGTTAGCACCTGCCTTTCTTAGTGCTTATACCCTTGATGCTCAGCTAAGTAGATTTGTCATTAGGAAGGCAGGGCTCATTATTTCTAGTACTCAGGTGAGTCACATATATCTGTACCCAAATTCAAGTAGAAAGTGGTGATTTATGGCATTGTGCCAGTTTTGTTTATTCCTCCACCATGGCAGAAATAGACAAAAGTTTCATTTCCATGCAATTCTTGCAAGCTCAGATCAACTATTCTTTTAGTTAAGGTGATTCCAGCTAAAATCACAGTGCTTCCCAGGCTGGACAGTATCTGTTATAGCCGAGGCTCATGTAATCACGTTGTTACAGTGCTGGAACACCTAGTGCATAGAACAAAAGCCAGCACATTGATTATGGCTTTGATGTTGTTTTAAGGAAGCTTAAGGACCACATTTGCATTCCTGCTGCAGCCCTCTGTGGAATCTCTGCCTCTGTAAGGATTGCGGGGTCTTTAAGCCTCAGTGCTCGTCCTTTTAATTTCTCTTTTAGCATATTTATCAGCATTTATTTCCTCTCTTATTTCACCCAAATAAGAAACGTGCCATTAACAGAGTATTTTGTTATGGACCTATTGATTCATTTGAATAGGGAATAAAAAAAACAGATCATGTCAGTGAAACACAGAAAGAGCTGAACTTGACTGTTCTATCTGAATGGTGACCATTTTTCAGTCATTAAAGCAAGCCTACAGGCTGAGCTGCTGGAACAATGGCAGCACAAGTGCGTTCTCCAACCCATTCACAGTCTCTGGGGTGCTGCTCAAAAGGTGGGCGCTCAGCACCAAACCCAGCTCTTGCGAGCCAGAACCTTTGAGTGGGGAATGAGAAGAGGGTCAGTCGGCACAAGCAAGCACTTTGTCTGGAAACCAGTGGCTGCATGCAAAGAGCAAACTGGAGAGCAAGCACTTAGGGAAAACCTCCTCTGATTTACCAACCTTTCTGCTTACTGCTTGTCAAGGGTGGCAGAGAAGTGCTGCCATTCAGACAAGGGATAAATGCTTTGGCACAGGCTGCTTTCACCAAGATGCCAACAGAGCTGCCTGTGAGCAGCACCTCACGAGAAGCAAAGGCATGCACTCAACTCAGGAATGAGAGAAAGGGGAGGGTAGCATGAAGAACAAAAAGGAATCAAAAAAGTCAAGACCAAGCTGACTTGATTCAATCCCCACCACAACCAATAAGATTAACCCCCAAGCTTAAAGATTTGTGCATCAGACCTAATTTATCACATACTCTTCTATGGGCTTTCACTTCTTCAATAGCACAACTCCATTCCCAGAACCCTTCTACCATTTGCATTTCAAATGCTCCTCTGTCGCTTTAACATAAAGGTACAGCTCTGCAGTCAAAAGATCTCCATGAAAATGTGACTCCTTACAAGCAACATGCTTCTTGCTCCATCTTTTTGGACCTACCTAAGCAGGGTGCTCAATGCAAGGCACTGTGTAAATAAAGGACATTATGCACTATGGCAAGCAATGCCCACAGTACCGGGGTGGCAGACCCCTTGGCTCCATTCTGTTCTTTCAGGTAATAAGGGCTGCTACAAACCCCTTAAAATTTAGATGGAAGCAGGTTAGCGACGTGCATCACAAGCAGCTGATATGGATTTGTTAAGACAGTGGTACACGCAAGAAGCAGGTCTAACATATTTCATTTATGCAAAAATCAATACAGGTATTGTTTAAGCAATGCTTTGACTTGTTTTTTGAAGGCTTTTGAAGTTTGTTTTTCCTGGTCTGCTACACAGATCTCTTTTCTCCTACACAGACACAAAATAAAAGGCTGCAGAATGCTTAAATCTCTGGATTAAAAAGCCACAACTTAACATTTACCAAGCTATTACTTGTAATCATACACAAAATTTCTCTTCAGACTTTGATGGACATTTGTTCTTTCCTACATTGTCTTTGATTCTTTTTTCTCTTCCCACACTGTTGTTATGCTCTGACAATAAACATGACAGCCATGAATACTAACAAGAGACACAGAAGATGGTTTAACATACATCTATCAGCCACTGTATCCGCTTATCGATACCTGTCATGAAGTACGTATCAAAACAGCATTGAAAGAAAAGCTGGAAAACCAAGGGCTTGACTTCACCATCACCTTTCATAAACTGACCAGCAACACAGACATGGTACTTAAAGCATGTGTATCTTCATTTCTGATAGTTTCAACACATGTCCTGCACATCTCCAGCCAAAACACCCCAAAATCCAATCTACTCATGTAAATCTCAGTTTCTTCCAAGCTATTCTTATCAAACAAATAACCTGAGTCATTGCCATCGATCCAGTACCTCCTGCTTTGACAAATTCCAACACAACAGCACACCATATTTTACAGAAATAAAGCAATGGGTTCTAAGAGATGCCAATGGCTAAAAATGGATTTATTTCACAAGAAAAAAATCGTTTGAGCTGGGCCCTACTGATGCAAAGAGCAGATCTGACATGGTGATATCTGACATTCTCTTTATCTCCATTTTAGATGATGAGGAGCACGAATGGATCATTCAGACCTGCCGACAAGCTTGGGATGAGACAAGTGAGCATCAACCGAAACCATGAAAACAGTTTTTGTTAGATGATAATATTCCCAAGCAGGTAATCTGATTCACAATAAATCCAATTTGTCCTCGTGGATTTGTCTCCCCCTTTCCCTCCACAGGGATATAATCTTTCTGTCATCTTTGTCAGCACAAACAAAACTGGAAATAATCATTTAATCAGTCATGCTGAGAAAAAGCCAGGGAAAAAAAGCAGACTGTAGTCACACTAATATTCCTGCGTGTAGTGTAGTATACATAAACCTTATTAAGCCTGAAAACAATTTGTTAAAGAGAGTGCCTGGATTCAGTGTTGAAGCCATTCAAATCCATCTCAATCAACATTATTTCCCCAGATTTTAGTTAGCTGTCCTGGTGAATTCCTTTCCTCTCTTTTTGCTCAGTACTTTGATATTGATTGATCATTGTAATAATGTACACCAGAGGTATTCTTTAATGACTGGTTTGCTAACTAGGAAATTATATCCATTTACTACGAACGTTTGTTGAACTCTCCTGAAGCCAGAGTTTAACAAAATAATAAAAGAGGAAAACTGGGTGGGTTGCTGCTTGATTAGTAAGCCAGAAAGTATTTAAAAATAAAATAAAATGGAATTACATCATTTTCTGGATGTAAGTGCCAGCACTTCTACTTGCATTAACTTTATTTATTACACAAATAAGACATTTACAAAGCACAACATTAAAAGTATGTAACAAAACAGACATTGGTTTTACAAAAAAGTGCTTACAATTTCGTTTTACTTCTTTTAAAATAAATATCAGTCTTGACTGTCCACTCATTCAGAGAAATGTCGTGTTTAACCATTGTAGCCAAGACATGCAGAATTGCAACATGCTACAACAAAATGATTGGCAGATGAGATAAAACTGACGTGTCTATAGTTGGCATCCTACAGATATTTCACTGATAGTAGTGCAGGATTGGTTCCCACTCCCCCATCCCAACTAAGAAGTTGTGTAAGCACCTTTAGCTTGGTATTGGGGTTAACCAGCATGAGCCAAAACCAAAAAGAACTGGTAATAAAACTGTAAACCATTCCACTTTCAGACCCTCGCCTTATTTAGTTACCACATTAAACTCGAGTGAAAAGCTTTCACTGGCTATCTTCATTGGATTTGTTTCTGCAAAAGGTTTTGAAATAGCAACTGGAAAAGTTTAGTCCGTGGAGTCTGCATCGCTGCACCAGAACCCATTTGGCAATTACTGAATAAACTAAGAAAATGAGAATGATTTTCATTTTATTTGTAGGGTTTTTTTCTTTTTTAATCTACAGACAGGAGATGAATGCAAATGACCTGAGATAAGGTTTGGTTCAGTGGCAACAGTCAGTGTGAAATATGTTGTGAAACAATGTATTGAATAAATTAGAGGATTTCTTACATTCTTGGTACAGTTGAGTATTTTCCATACACATAATTAGCTCTAAAACTGCACAAGCTGAATTGCTTCCAGTTTTTGCAAACAATTTGGGCTTAATATAAACAGAGCCTGATTTCTGAATTAGCAAAGCTGCTCCTGGCTACTTATGGGGGGAAGTGCCCCGGAGCACAACCTGTGCGGGGCAGTTCACCCCACGGGCTGTGGTGAGTCCACTTCCACTGGAGAGAAGCACCGATGCTCCCTCTGCTTTGCACTCCAGTCCTGTCAGTGGTATCAGTTACACACACTTTGCTATACAGTACATTTCACAAGTGGAGTTCTTTTTGATCAGGAAGTTGATATTGAGCAGATACATATTTAATAGTTTCCCTTTCATTGCACCGCCGAGACAGAAGAGAAATGCGTCAGAAAAACATTTTCTCCCTCAACAAAACAGTTGTGGAAACCTCAAGTACTGTGGTCAGGTCAAGTTACAGCCTGGAATCTTTCCTTCGGTCTTAAATCAAACAACTACCCCTTCGTTTATGGCACTAATTCCACAGCGAAATGCTCGTTAGGATGTGCGAGCACAAATGGAGAAGTGACCCTGCCGACCACGACCAGCATCTTAAAGCTGTTGCATGCAGACACAGCAATCCACCCCAGCCTTGCAATAACAAACACCACCAACAGCCAACAAAGGGACACCCATCCTTCCCTCAGGGCTACAGAAAGGACAACAGTGACTGCAGCAATGGGTACAACTGGTGACTGTCCCCTCCTTGAGGGACCACCTCTGCAGCAGTGGTTCCAGTCAGGTCAGGCGTAAGGGAATGCCTTGTCACTGGAAATAGCTACTCACACGTCAGGAGGTGACAATAATACTTTGTGGACTTAATTTCCTCTCTCTTTTCAAATGTTATTTCAAACTGGGGGTAGAGCTGCTAGCTGCAGATAGAATACTGGCCTTACTGTCCAAGGTATTACCATCACACTCTGTCTCTCTGTATATTGTATATATATATATATGTACACACACACAAACATCTGCGTGTGCATATATATATATACACACACACACATATATATAATATATATATTTGCTCCAACAAATATCAATGCATGCTTGTACTCAATTACTTCTCAAAGGCCTCTTGGTGGCCACCTCATCAGACATCCACATCTCCTGCCACCGTTCCCCATGCGGTCAGAGCACGAGCACACCTTGTGACTATAGCTGGAGCCACACGTCTGGCCACGGGTGTCACACACAGCTCACGGGCACAGCCTTGCCACGTGTGCAACAGGGGCTGGCCAAGCCTTTGGGATGGCTGCCTACCCGATGGAGATTGATCCACGGAGAAAAGCACACGTATGTGGAGTTCAAACTAAAAACAAGTTATGCAACGGATGGATTCCTGTCTCCTGGTCCTCAGGCACAGCTCAGTCAGATTACACACTAACTGTGGCTCATAGTAGGCTTTCACATTCTCGGAAACGTGGCCTCACAGACACTTAGCAGCAAGACAGACCCGTGTGCTTGCGTGGAGAGAGGTTTTGTTACAGACCTGCTCTTGGCGTGGTGCAAACTGAGAAGGGCTGGCAAAGGTTACGTGTTTACTTTTTGTTATTGCCATCAATGAAGGATCATTTCGGAGCTTTTTTCCTGATTTAGGGCCAGATTGCTGAGCACTTCCTTTGCTGTTGCGACGAGCCCTGCGGTGCCTGCCCCGCCAGCAGCAGCCCTCTCGGGTTGCGCCTTCCTCCAAGGACTTGGCAGCAGCAACAGCCATATTCCAGCAATGGGGAATAACAGGAGGGCAGAGGGAATCGGAACGATGCTGCCAGATAAAGGAATCTGGCATCTCCTTGCTGTCCACTCAGCTAGGACTGTTCCTGCTGGCTTTGCTGAAGGTTTTGCCTTTTAACCAGTCTCCCATTTCTACCCCACTGTTCCCACTGACTGAACTTGGGCCCACACCAGAGCAGAACATTTCTAGGCCTTCACAACCAGCTTCCATTGAGGATTTCCTACTCCCAGCATACGGAGTGTCTGAGAGTTTTGTGTAGGTACATTCTGCAATCACCCATTTGTGATCCAACGTGACTTCAAGGAATTAAAGTAGCTTGTTAATGAAGAACAAGAGTAAAAAACAAGATTTGGCAGACGGCTCGGAGAGGAGAAGGAGAGAGATATTCAGTGTTCTAAGAACAAGTCAGCAGTCAAAAACTTCAGGGTGTTAAACCTGGCTCTGCCACCAACCCCCACGGTTCTTCTCAGTTTAGGACATCTTGGTTTCCCCTCCTATAAAACGGGGGGGAAAACCCACTAAGATTTACTTACCTTAGAGTGATCAAAGGACAAGTGATTCTAAAGCACTTTGAGGAGGAAGAAAAACTGCCTATTTCCAGCTGGCATCAATGTTTTCCACTTAGTGGAGTCTCAGCTACCTGCGAGTTTGGCTCAGGAAGATCTGTGTATGCATGGCGTTGCTGAGCCAAAAAGCTCACTTCAGATTTCACACATGCAAGTGGAAATCGGGAGGGACGTCCGGGAACCGACAGCGCTTCACTGGTGCAAAACGAGAATCAGGCCAAACCACGTCAATTCCTCCTTCCTTTATGTTCAAGAGGAGATCATTGACCCCCCCCACCGAGACTCAGCATGTTCTGGTTTGTTCGTATTCCCATGGGTTTGGGAGCAAGAGTTGCAAGCACAGTCGAGTCACTAATTCTGCCTGTGTCTGGCATTGCCTTGGAGAGGCTCACGGTCATTCTACAAGTCCACAAGAAACAAGTGAAAAATGTAACTCTGCACTCAACACACACATACACAGAGTGGCGCTGGAGAAATAATAGTGGATGTTAGGTGCTGGTCAATGGAAAGAACTGAGAATGCTGGCTCTGAGTTTCTCCTGCATGACTGATAACAGTTGCCTTGGGCTGGACGCTGTTTCAGCGGCTGAGGGGCAGTGGTGCTGGTAGCGCCATGGGCAGATGAGGAAGAGTTCGCGCAGTCAGTACTGAAAGAGGATGACCTAGTGGGAGAAACGTGAACCGAGCGTTAGCTGCTTTCAGACACAGAGAGACAGCCCTCGCCATGGAAATGTGCTCGCAGGGACCAACAGGACAGACGTGCTCCACTGCGGCAGCCGCTTCCTCATGGAAAAACCCTCTCTGGAACCACTGTCTGCCTGGGATCCACCAGCCCTGCCCATGGAATGGAGCTGGCTGGGGAAGGCAGGCACAGCATCCAAGGAGCCCAGGCGGGAGGAACGGGACTATGGCAGCACAAACCCTAAGAGAACAGTGCACCTCGGGCACAGCTGCAGCTGTGAAACCGTCTCAGCCTGTGCTGTAAACTGTATTTGAAGTGGTTGTTCTGTGATACAGCAGCTACCAAGAAAGGTGAAGGCCATTACACCAGTCCTCGTTCTATCCACCTCCCTTGCTGATCAACACAAGCTTCCCTCAAACCACTACACCTTGCTGCTCTGCACATACAGCATCTTCCTCACCATCAGTCAGGGGAAGAGCTGGTCACTGCACAGTTCTCCCATAGCCACTGCACTGGGTACTCCTCGAGGAGAGGAGAAGGGCGATGCCCTATGTGCAGGGGGAAACAGTCTTTGCATTTACATGTGTTTTCCCAGGATCTCAGGTATCATTGCTTTTAAAAAACATCGGATGTGGAAAAAGGCTACTTCAGGTTTCAGGAATTCAACGTGCAAGGGATTGATTGTTTGGAAAAGGAGCTGGTTGGGGGCAGCTCCGTGTCCTGAGAACCCAGTTTTGCAACAGTTGTGAGCAAGTGATTGCATTTAAATCACAGGGGCTCCTTGCTGCAGTAAGTTTCTCTGAATGACAGGACTGTATAATGGTTTTCCTGCAAACCCTCCAGCTTGTTGTGCAGGTTATCATGACTAAATGGTAGCATTTAGACTGAAAAAGTACCTTTGCTGTGCCCCTGCTTGTGCTTATCAACACAGAGATCAAAAACCCATTGCTGCACTGGAAAGAGATTTGAAAAGAGAGATGCTGCAAACTTCGAACAGTAAAGACAAAAGCTAAAACCAGTAAGAGTTGCCAAAGGTTTAGTGTTTCCTCAGAATGAAGTCACCTAAACTAGAATCACAAATTAAGTCTTATGAGCCTAAAGCATGTTTCAGAAGTCTTGCCCCCAAATAAGCTGCATTAGACCAGACAGATGCTTTAAGTGCTGAACAGAACATATCAACATGCAATATGAGTCTATGATTCTATGAATATTGTTTCCTGGCCAGACCTTGTGAAATAACATTCCTACTTCAGATATTGTAACAGCCAGTTATTCTTTTTTTAAGCAACACTGGAATCCCCAAGAAATTAATCTTTCCCATTAACTCATGGAAAATCAGAGAGAGAGTTCAGGTAGGAAGATGCCAAAGCCTTCTGTGAATGCAGGCACAGAACCCCAGCACATCACAACAACGAGGGGTATTTAGTGAAGAACAAAGTGATGCCGTTTTGACTGACAGTTGGTACATCAATCTAGGGCCACCAAAATTAAGGAAAGACACATGAGTGGGCAGCAGCTGCCAGAGATCATGGAGAAGCAGTGATGCTGACAAGAGACAGCAGTGGCAATGATGGTACACAAAAATCTTTGCTACAGCGGAGGTTTGGCCCCAAAGCCTGGAACAGGGACTACAATTACCTTCTCACCCCTATTAGATAGTGGTCCTTCCATGTCTGCTTTGAGGTGCACTGGTGGAGCAGTGTAGGGGAGTCTACAGTGCACTTGTCCACACTGTACCTGACCTGTGGATGAGAAGAGGCTTCAGCCTCCATTACTACAAACAACACACACCCTGCAACCGGCACGGTCAGGCTTCCACATGGGAAGCAGCTTGGGACACGCATGGAAGGAGAGGTGCTCAGTGGATCAGGCAGAGGGGCAGCAGGAGCCACGTTTTACTACAGCCCACATGGCCAAGGGAGGGGAGAAGCCTCATGGAGCCAAAACCTCCATCCAGGCACGAC